GAAACGAACTGACGAGAGATAAATTCTCTGCACTGTTTTCAAAGTATAAACTATAAACATATGTCGATTTAACATTAATCTAATGATAATTTGAATATAATCGATCCGGTTTATCAATGAGAAGAAAGTTTAGTTATAAATTATTGGTAATTCATCGTTTAGATGAAACGTTTGTTGATCATTAAGAGGCGTGACAAGGGAAATTATTTCAACTGTTTAAACAGTGTCATTAGTCGCCAAAAACGCGTTAAAACTGTTATAATTTCAATGACTCCAAGCGTTTAAACATGTAAAACGTGTTAAAAGTTAATTTTTCATAAACTGTTTTAACGTGTTTTTGGCGACTAATGACACTGTTTGAATAGTTGAGATGTTGAGACGTTTAAACGCCGTTTTTGCCGTTTTGTTGTCTGCCTGGGCAACGCTGATCAATGGAAAGGGAGTGATTTTGCTTCACGACAACGCTCGGCCACACGTTGCGAAGATAACGCGAGAAAAAATTCAGAAGTTGGGCTGGGAAGTCCTCCCTCATCCACCATTTTCCCCAGACCTGGCGCCATCGGATTACCATCTATTCCGCTCTCTTCGGAACCATCTGGCTGAGAAACGCTTTGAAGACTACGACACTCAATTCTGACCTCGCCGCTTTTTTTTGACTCAAAAGACCCAGACTTTTATAAAAACGGGATCTACCAACTGCCGAAAAGATGGGCCACTCTTATTGATAATAACGGGGAATATATTATTGATTGAGGTTGTTTTGTTCTGTTGAAAAATAAATTTTGTCGTTTAGTAAAAAAAAAAAAACGCAAAACTTTCTTGCCAACCTAATAATATGACGAAAGAAGAACTTTTTGTGAAGAGTCTGAGAAACAACAGAACATATACACATGCAAATACTCAATCAATCAATACCATCTGTAGCACTAATGACATCTTGCTTAAATAATTTCACGTAGTGGAAAAAAAAACGAGAAAAAAAACTCTCTAATTTTTTCCATTCATCGGAGATGAAAGTTGCTTGTTGTGAATGTCATTTAATCTGGTGAATCTATTTTATTATTCCAAGAATCAACTTTTGGATCCACAAGAACATATTTCAGTTGTAATATAATCACTTTGAAAACTTGAAAAAATGTAAACAGAAAAATTTGTGAAGAGTGCAAGTTCATTTTATCAATTGTTTAATTATGAAAATATGTTAATTAAGCAGT